GGTGAGCCGAGCTGGGGAGTGTAGTTGGCCAGGTGACTAGGTGAGCCAAGCTGGGGAGTGTAGTTGGCCAGGTGACTAGGTGAGCTGAGCTGGGGACAGCTGCTAGGTGGAATAGTTGTAGGACTTCTACACTGTGTAGCTGCTCCAGCTGGCCTTACTTTGTGCTCCTGCAGCTGACCATGTGCCTACAGAAAGGCGCAGTGCTTCTTTGTATCCCTGGAACCTGGGAGGTGGCTACTGCTTGGTATTGGTTACGGAGAAAGGAAAGAACAGAGTCGAAAAGATGCTTTTCGAAGCTAACTCCGCAGAGCCAAGAAAAGGAGGCTGACCTCTGTTCTTCACTCAGGGAGTCTCAGAGGGGTATGGCTGGGGAAGCCAGGCGGGGTTAAGCTTTCCGGGAATGGTAAGTGGGACCCAGAAACATACATCTTCAGGAGGGAGGAACACAACTTTTTCAGACACCCATAGTTCCTATGATGCTGAAGGACCTGCTGATTGGGTGCCTGGTGTAATCCCAGCTCTATGGAACTGAAGATTGATTTAAGTCTTTGTATCAGGCAAACGTTCTACTGCTGAGCTACATCCATCCACAGCCCTTTCCACTCTCCCCCAAAGATGGGCCCACCATGGGATGGAGAGATGGCTTAGCCATTAAGAGCACTTGCTCTTACAGGAGATCCAGGTTCAGTTCCCAACTACCTACTTGGTGACTGGCATCTGCCCATAACTGCAGTTCTAGGGGATCTAAGGTCCTCTTCTGGCCTCCACAGGCACCAGAACATACATGCATAGTAAAAGAACAAAAACACCGGAGCCCACCGAGTTGTCCAGGCTGTTGTTGAGTGTTTAATCCTGCTTCAGTTTACAGAGTAAAGTACACACCATCTCTACCATGCTTGGCTGAGTCAGCCATTTAAAAACACTTGGCCGGTGGAATAGATATAAGAAAACTCCAGCTCAAACACGTGATGGGACTTTCCCAAACCTCACGAAACTGTCCTGTGGGGTTTTTGTTCTGGCCTTGAGCTTTTAAATTTGGTTCTTCGCTAGACACTTCAAGGCTGCGCAGTCAAGTCTGGGCTCACGAATGACCACAGCCAAAGGTTGCATGAGCTTCATGGCAGCTTTTTGCCAAAGCAAAAGGACTACCTTATGTAGAGTTGGGTGCCATGTTTGGGTTGGCATCCAAGAGTAGCAGGTTAAGTCCCCACCTCCTCTTCCGGGAAATTCTGAATTAAATTCTGCCTTAGGTGGTTTATGCGCTCTGCAGCGTGATGAGGAGCGACCTCCTGAACTGCTGGGTAGGTGGGTTGGCCTTGTGGCCCATCTGCGACATTTATGCGAGGCTCAACAATTGGTAATAACGAGCGCCTTCTGTGTTTAGGTGGCCTCTTACCCTCACAGGATTGGACAGGGCCTTCAGAGGCTTCTGGGGGTCAGATCACGATCACTAGTACCTAAGAAACAAGCCCACGGGGACTCGGTCCTCCAGCGGCCCAGTCTGACAATAGAGCGGTGGGTTGGGGTAGGAGACGTCCTCTGGGAACCAGAGAGGACCTGATTGCACCGGGACTGCAGCACGACCGGCAGCTCCACGCTGCGCTTCTCCCCAATCCCAACTCCCTCACCCCGCGATGTGGGGCGGACTCGGCCTCTGACTTCCATTGGGCCTCCCGGGTCCGGGCCCGCCCATCCCTGCGGCGAAGCCCCGCATTGGCCTGCGCGGTGCCCCGCCCGGTTCCGGTGCGCCCATTGGTTGCCGATGCCCGACCCCCGGCGCGGCCGCCGAGGCGGACCGCGGGATTGGTGGTCCCGCCGCGGCGTCCTC